GGGGGGGGGGGCAGTCATTAGCGTGAGCAGCTACTAGTCCCAGCCCTACCAGCCCCCAATGTTCCTGCTGCTGAGCAGAGGTGAGGGCTCTCACCGAGGCACTGCTGGAGCCTGACTCTTCCTCAGCATTGGGGGGCTGTGTGGCATTCTTTCGACTGCGGGGGCTGGACAGAGCTGCTTTTCTCCGGCTCTTGGGCGGCTTGGTGGATGAGTCTTCATATTCCTCAGCCAGGGAGAAGAGATCGCTGAACCTGAGAGAAAGAACACACCCTCAGCACATTCCTCCCAGCCTCTTCTCTGTCCTGGGCAGGACCCCTCCCCACTGCTTCCCAAGGCCTTACTTCATCTTGTGGGCCTCGTCACAGCTTGCCTGCACGTGCTGCAGAGCCTGGAGAATTGGGGTCTGGCTAAAAACTAGAGGGAGGAGGAGGGAGAGCAGGGAAGCAAGGACAGTGAGCGGTCCAGAAACTCACTCAACTCTCCTGCCCCTGCCCCCACCCACTCTAGGGCTCGTCTGAGCCAGGGTCTGCAACGCATACAGTTCTGCTTGGTGTTGGTCAGGTTGAGGCGCAGGTTGTCCAAGTGCTCCAGGATCTGCTCCAGAGTCAGCTGGGCCAGCTTGCTGCTGGAGCTCCTCAGGCTGCAGGGAAGTCACACAGCCAGAGTCTGAGCTTGAGGGGAGGGCTCCAGGAGTGTGGGACACCCTCCCCACCAGGGCCCCTCCTGAAGACAGACGCAGCCCATATGGGGAAGGATGGGGTGGAACAGGGACCAGCCACCGGGCACTAGGGAAAGGGGGAAGGGCCAGAGTGGGCCCGCACACCATGTAGCTTCAGACCACTAGGTGTCACCCACTAACCAGGAAGGAATTGCCCTGGTGATGGCCTGTGGACAGTGGGCAGCCCTCCACAGGGCCCACGTCCCCCCTCTGCCTCTTGCTCCCACCTCTGCCTCTTGCGCGGGAGGCTGTTGTTCTTGATGAGCAGGGACTTGATGTGCTCGGCCAGCAGCTCGTCATGCTTCATGCACCAGTGCCGCAGGATGCTGGTGGTGAACTGGTCGTCAGGGTGGCAGGGCCTGCTCAACACCATCTTCACCATCTCCTCGCTGGGCCTGGGGGTGTGAGAGGAGTGGAAGGCACCCTGCTCACACAGCTGGCCTCAGGATCCCCTGGTCTCTCCCACCTACTTACTCCCCAAACCTCAGCCCCCTACCCCCATCCGCGTCGCTGCAGCTTCCTGCTCTCACACCCTCTCCCTCTTCTCTCTGGGCCAAGGAATGCTGGTTTCATCCTTTCCCGAAGCCAGGAGACACAAGTGATTCTTCAGTTTCTGCAGTAGCAGCTGGTATGTATACTGGGGGGCGGCTCACCAAATCTCTCCCACCTTGCCCAGAACAGTCAGGAAATGGGCCAGGGAGGCAAAAGGACCACACGGTATCTAGCCCGAGACGGCGCAGCGGAGGGGGCTGGCAAGCCACAGCCCTCAACCTGCCCACTTCCTTTAGGATGTTCTGTACCACTTCTAGTCTCTCGGGCAAGAGAGCAGAAAAGGTGGAAGGAAGGCAAGAAGGTAGAGAAGATACACAGCTGCTGTCCTACTCATCTGGGCTGTTGGGAAAGTGCCTGTGCTGGAGGGTGGAGGGGCCTCTGCTGGCTCCCCCTCCAGGCCCCACCCCTGTACTCTGACCCAGCCTCCTCTAGGATTAGCCTAGGGTGGCCTCAGCAGAGTAGGGGTGGGGAGCAGGAAACCAGGATGTCCGGTCCCCACCCCCTACCCCCTCCTCCCAGGGCAGCTCCTGGTGGGCAGGGGTGTAAAGTCAAGAGGAAGCCCAGATCCCAAGGGAGCTGCATGTTTGTAAATCATTTTAGGGGAAGGGCAGAATAAGTAGATGTCTACAGTAGAAAAAAGCATGGCCAGCCTCCTGAAGGAGCAGCCAGGAACCCTTTACAGGATGCTCTCTCTCGGTATGCTGTGACTGGGAGCTAGAGTCCCCGGAAGTAGAACTCACTTCTCTCTTCGGAGCTGAAGCAGCAGGCAAGACAGGGCCTCTGGGTGCTCTGTGGGGGAAGGCAGAGGCTGCTCAGAGGGTTGTAGAATTCCAGGAAGAATCTTGGTACCTCTCCCATCCCCCAGTTAATAGCCACTCGAAGGAGCAAGGACAGTCTTCCCCATGGAGCCAGGAAGAACAATCCCTTGCTTCTAGAAAATCCCAAGTGGCCTGAGCCCTAGCTCATGCCTGGCTCAGAGTGGGCCTGCCTGCAGGACTCATCTGAAGAGCCTAAGTGACTGACCAGGGAGCCTGGCCTTCCGGACTTCGCTGGGAGGGGCAGCAGTGGGTCTGATCATCCAGAAGCCTAGGGGCCTCAGCCTTGCCCCAGAGGGACTGGGACGGTCCTTCCCTCAATTCTCCCTACCCACAGCCCTACTCACCTTTGTATTTGAGGTGCTGCAGGATGGGGATTATGGTCTCCAGGGGGATGTTGTGGGCCAGGAAGAGCTGCCAGGCACAGTACTGCTCAAAGGTCTCCCAGTCCAGGCTCTGGACTGCAGGGGACAGAGAAGGGGCGTGCTCACGCTTGCGCGCTCTCTCCTTCACACACACATAGGGCTAACTCACTGACTAACAGCGTCCCAAGCAGGGGTGATACACAGGTGAGGACAGTGTCCCCAACCCTACAGACACTCTCCCTTTCCACACAAAGCATTGTTTTCAAAGACTTCACTTCACTCCTATAGTCCCAGCAGCCCTGAGCTTAAGCAGATCCAGAAACACTGCCCGAGACCACAGAGCAGGGCAGAGTGATGGTCTACCCCATTCTCAGCCCAAGCCAGCCATGCTGTTACTAGAAAACATCCAGGGCTGCCACACGTCTCTTCCCCCCGGGGTGCCTGCAGCGTCTGCTCACTTACTGAGTATGTTGAGGACAGAGTCCTTTCGAAACATAACCAGGTTCCCCATCATCACGTGGCAAACCAGCTCCTGGAGCTGAGGAGGGAGAGAAGGAAGAAGGCAAGACCCATTGGTTCTAAAAGAAGCCAGGAAGCCAGTATGGAAAGAGAAGCAGGAGGGCTCACATGGGGAAAAAACCAAAGGAAGGGAAAACTTGGTCTCTGAAGGATGCAGGGGCTGGTGAAGAACAGGTGAAGGCTTGTTTGGGGCAAAATAGTTAAAGAAAACCATTAAAGTGGTTTCCATGCCCTCACAGCAGAGGGAGAATGGACAACTTGTCTACCTCGCCCTAGTTTGGGCCCCAACCCACACCAGCCTGTGCCTGAGGAGGAGGAAAGGGCCCTGGGAGGCTGAGTCTGGAACAGAGGTGTGGGTAGGAGAAAGGCAAAGAAAGAAGGGCTCTTCTGTCATAAATGGGGCGAGTGGAGAGGAGGAGCAGAAATGGGACCTCAGTTCGGCACAAGAACAACACACAAGAAAAGCTGCAGCCTCCGGGGCCCGTACGTGGTGGCAAGGCCAATGGCCTGATCATTTTCATCCTGAGCCAAGGGGATGGCCAGCTGAAAGCTAAAAAAAACCCACCTCCTAGCTTTCCGTGTGGAACTGGAGTACCCAGGAGAGAATGAGCCCCACCTGCCTCCCTGGGATCCACTTCCCTTCCAGCCCCCAGGCCTGAAGTGCACACAGGTGCAGGCCCCCCTCCCCCACCACTGCCCAGGCCTCCCAGGAGGACAGCTCCTTGTGCACCTGCGCAGAGTCAATAACAGCCACGATCATGTTCAGCAGTTCGCCGCTCCGCAAGGTCTCATCTGGAAACTGGGCAGAAAAAGAGGGAAGCTGGGGCAGGAGTCCAGGGTGCACCCCTTGACTTGAACCTCATAATCCACTCCCCTTTCTTCCCACATGCTCAGGGGATGGCTGGGTTAGCCAGATGTCGGGTCTAACACAAATACCTAAACAAAGATCCAACAGCTGTGAAGCTGGGACTCTAACTCTTCCAAAACCCAAATTTGCTCTTCGTGTGCCCACAGCATGAGGAGTGTGTGTATCTCAGGAAAGCAATGGGGAGCCATCCAGAGATGGAGCTAGAGCCAAAAAGGACTGGCCATGACTGGTGAGTGCTGTGTGGCAGCAGTAAAAAAAATCCAATCTATATTAACCCTCAGCCAAAGAAGAGAAGGTGCAGAGTGTGAGTGTTTGGGGTGCATGACAGGCAGGCATGACCCCTTCTTGGGGAGGCCAGTTTACCAGGGAGGGAGCAGAGGAGGAAACTGCCACATGCTGGGTATGTGCACCCCTCCCCCTGCAGTTTTTGGCTGAGATCACAGTTCCTCCTGTCATGCCCACACCCCGTGCCCTGATTTCCCTGTTCCCAGGAACCTTCACCAAGAGGAAGAGCTGATACCTCCTCTGATGTCCCAGTTCCTAGAGAAGACAGTGAGTGAGTGAGGGAAATGAAAGTCGAGTCCCCACCACAAAGGCCCTGGTCTTTGGGAACCACTAGAGAAACTGAGAGTGAGCAATCAAAAGGCAAGAGGGCCTGCAATGTGTGAACGTGGATTTGGTTGGGGCCTGTCCTGGGTCCAGAGGATGGGGCCAAAGCTGAGAAGCCAAGTGTAGAGGCCCAGACCCCAACTCACACCACAAAGCACAGGACAGGAATTCTGTGGGTCTTAGACATTTTCTAAACTTTAACGGGGGGGCCCACAAGCAGGTGTGGGCTGGAAAAGGCAGCCTGCCGAGGCCAGCAGGCGCTGTATGCGGAGATGCGCAGTCTCGGGAGCCCTGCCTGCACAGCTGCCCTGCCTCGGTGGCACTCCGTCAGGGGCACTGACCTCTGTGTAGATGGAGGGCGTGAGGTGGCACAGCAACCGCACATCGTCTTCCTGGCAGGCCTTCATGTCCATCATCAAGCAGGTGTGCAGGTCACCCAGCTGCGTGGCCTGGGCAAATGACTCGTACAGGTTCATCTTCCCAGCAGCGGCTTTGCTGCAAGAGCAGTTGGGCCGAAGCCAGCATCCAGCCTCAGCATCCAGCCTCAGCAGACATCCCCCAGGTAGGCCCTCCTCTGCAATCCCTTTGCTGCCCTGATGCTCTGGGCCAATCAGTCTCATGGCTTTCCCCTGCCTTCCTCAAGAGCTTTGTAGCTTATAGCAACCAGGACACACTCTTCTTTCTCCCCATCCTTCCCCAGTGCTCCAGACAGGGCACTGACCACAGTTAATGAAGCTGCTAACTGGTGAGAGCTGAACATAGGAGAGGGCTCAGCTCAGGCTAGAAAGCTCACTTCCTGATTTCTGGGCTCTGAGCAATGAGGACAACAACACATAGAGGCCCCCACCTCACATCACGTACAAAACAACTCAAAAGGGGTTATAGGCCTAAATGTTAAGAACTGAAACTATACAACTCCTAGAAGAAAACACAGGAAAGGGGCGCCTGGGTGGCTCCGTTGTTAACCGTCTGCCTTCGGCTCGGGTCACGATCCCAGGGTCCTGGGATCAAGCCTCGCACTGGGCTCTCCGCTCAGCGGGAAGCCTGCTTCTCCCTCTCCCACTCCCCCTGCTCGTGCTCCTGCTCTCTGTCAAATAAATAAATAAAGCCTTTAAAAAAAAAAAAAGAGAAAAAAAACAGAGGAGAAAATCTACATGACACCAAAAGCACAAGTGATGGAGAAAAGATAAATTGTACTCTTCAAAATGTAAAACATCAGGGCGCCTGGGTGGCTCAGTCGTTAAGCGTCTGCCTTCGGCTCGGGTCATGATCCCAGGGTCCTGGGATCGAGCCCTGCACCGGGCTCCCTGCTCCGCAAGAAGCCTGCTCTCCCTCTCCCACTCCCCCTGCTTGTGTTCCCTCTCTCACTCTGTCTCTCTCTCTGTCAAATAAATAAATAAAATCTTCAAAAAAAAAATGTAAAACATCTCTGTTTCAAAGGATGCCATCAAGGAAGTAAATAGACAACCCGGAGAATGAGAAAATATTTGCAAACGTTATGTTTTGTAAGGGACTTGCATCCAGAATATATATATATAAAAATCTTAAAAATCAACAATAAAAAGATGAATAACCCCAATTAAAAAACAGGAGAGGGGGCGCCTGGGTGGCTCAGTCGTTAAGCGTCTGCCTTCGGCTCAGGTCATGATCCCCGGGTCCTGGGATCCAGCCCCGCATCCGGCTCCTGCTCCGCGGGAAGCCTGCTTCTCCCTCTCCCACTCCCCCTGCTTATGTTCCCTCTCGCTGTGTCTCTGTCAAATAAATAAATAAAATCTTAAAAAAAAAACCACACAAACAGGAGAGGAGGGGCGCCTGGGTGGCTCAGTCGGTCAAGCGTCCGACTCCTGGCTTCGGCTCAGGTCATGAGCTCTGGGTGGTGGGATCAAGCCACGCGTCAGGCTCTGTGCTCAGTGTGGAGTCTGCTTAAGACTCTCCCTGTCCCTGCGCCCGTCCCCACTGCGCACGCTAATAAGTCTTAAAACATAAACAAAAAACAGGAGAGGATCTGAACAGACATTTCTCCAAAGAAAATATGTAAATGGCCAATGACAGGCACATGAAAAGCTGCTCAATATCATTAGCCATCAGGAAAATGCAAATCAAAACCACAGACCCATTAGGATGGTTGTAATGAAAAAGCTGCCCAACAACAGGCTGGGAAGCCCGTGAAAGCACTAGAAGCCTCGCCCACAGCAGGTGGCAACGGAAACTGGCTGCAGTCACTCTGGAAAGTAGTTCGGCAGGTCCTCACCAAGTTAGAGATGGAGTTACCGTTCGACCGGCATCTACTCTTAGGTATATATACCCAGGAAAATTGAAAACCTGTGTCCAGGTAAAAATCTGTATGTGAATGTTCACAGCAGCTCTTTTCACAATAGACAAAAAAGTGGAAACAAATCAAATGTCCATCGCTGGGTGAACGGATAAACAAACTGTGGTATACCTAGACAGTGGAGTATTATTTGGGCATAAAAAAAGGAAGTTCTGACACAGGCTACAGCGGGGATAAACCCTGAAAACATTACACTAAGTGACAAAGCCAGTCATGAGAAACCACACGTTGTATGATTCCATTTATACGAAACATGCAGAGTAAGTAAATCTATAAAGACAGAAAGCAGATCCTTGGTTGACAGGGGTGGGGTGAAAGGGACAATGGGAAGGTGACTGCTAACTGGGATGTGGTTTCTCTTACAGATGATGAAAATCTTCTAAATTAGCCAGCAGCAACAATTGTACAACTTGGGGAATATACTTTAAACCACCGAATTGTGGTTTTAAAGCTGTTATTAAAAAAGACAAACGGAAGGCCGTGGTGATGCCAGTGGGGGATCAGCATTCGCAGGGGAGGCTCTCCAGGACACCTCCTCCAATGTGGGGACCATACCCACCTGGCCCTCAGGTAGTACAGCAGGTGGTAGCCGATCTTGGGCTGTTTTTGGTACAGCTCAGAGAGAAGATCCAGAAGCAGAGAGAAGCTGCTGTTGTCTTCCTGCATTTGGCACAAGTTCCTGGAGGCGGGAGGTGGGAGGAAGGGAGCAGAGCTGTATGTAGGGCAGACTCTGCTGTGGAGGCATGAGCCACCTGTGCCCACTGCATATCCTTCCCCTCTGGAAAAGGAGTCCCATTACCCTAGGACAGAAGCATAGGACTGCTGAGGGGAAGGACGGAAGGCCCAGCACTGTCTCCTACAGCTGGATTCTTACCTAAATATTAGGTAGAGAGGCTTTCCCACAGACTCCTCCAGGGACCTGCAAGAGGAGGGTGACATCTAAGAGTCCGCGTGAGTAGAGAAGATGGGCTGCAGGCAGACATTATGGAGGCTAGATGCCAGCCTGCTCCTTTCCAAACCAAAGGTCAACTTCCTGCTGCCCCAGAGGCTCGGTCACAGAGAAGACAGAGTCCTAACATGCACCACAGTCTGGGCAGTGACTGTCATTGAAAATGAGATTCCTGGGGCGCCCAGCTGGCTCAGTTGGAGGAACATGCAACTCTTGATATTGGGGTTGTGGGTTCGAGCCCCCATGTTGGGTATAGAGACTGCTTAAAAATAAAATCTTTAAAAAAAAAAAAAAAGAAAAAGAGGGGCGCGTGGGTGGCTCAGTCGTTAAGCGTCTGCCTTCGGCTCAGGTCATGATCCCAGGGTCCTGGCATCGGAGCCCCACGTCGAGCCCCACGTCGAGCCCCACGTCGGGCTCCCTGCTTGGTGGGAAGCCTGCTTCTCCCTCTCCCACTCCCCCGCTTGCATTCCTGCTCTCGCTAACTCTGTCAAATAAATAAATAAAATCTTAAAAAAATAAAAAATAAAAAAAAAAGAAAATGAGATTCCTGCCCTTCTGGGAGGGTCTAGGCAAGGGTCCAATCCCACCTACAGCAGCAAGGGCTGGGCACACAGGAAGGGGCCCTAGTCTCTGCCCCACGCTCTGCATTCAGTAGACAAAAATGAATCCTTAAGTGAATCAGCACACGTGAGAATAAAAACAAGTAAAGAGAGGGGCGCCTAGCTGGTTCAGTCGGTGTAACGTGTGACTCGATCTCAGGGTCTGAGTTCAAGCCCCATGCTGGGTGTAGAGATTGCTTGAAAATAAAATCGTGAAAAAAAAAAAAGTAAAATAAGTGATTATTTCTCTCAAGTCTACAGCAAGATGCCTCCTGGACTAGGGCTCTAAGAGCATACTTCTGGCTCCCAGAAGCCAGTGGGTAGGTGGAGGGGTCAGGAAAGATAAGCCTTACTCCTCGGTGATCTCCTCAGGCAACACCTCCCCTCGAAAGTGGGCCTTGAAGAGCTCCTGTAGGCAGGAAGCAAGGACAGACAGCTGCTCCGAGTCAAAGTCTTCCTGGGTGGTGAGACAAGTGAGCAGGTATCACCACGGGACCCAAGCCTTACTGCCCCCACGACCTGGAGCCTCTGCACTCAATCTGCTTCCACCTCCAGGATCAACAAAGCCCTGCACCATCAGAGGGGACCCATCTTGGGGACAGGAAGGAGTCAGCTGCCTGGGTGGGGGAGTTCTGCGCTGCGTGGGCTAGGCTGCTTCCTCCTCAGGGGATGGGATCTCCTCACCTCTAGGACCTGGTCCACGATTTCCTGCATGACCTCACACTGGGCCTCAGTGTCACTGTAGTGAAGAATTGAGAGAAAATCTCAGGGACGTAAATGACAGCAGAGGGCAGGACACACAACCAGCAAAGCACACTCATGCACAGACAAAACAAAGGAGCTCTGTATGAATCTGGGCTTGGGTCAGGGAGGCTTTAGGGCAGAATTTGCTACTCTCCGGGCAGAGACCCTAAGGAAAGGAAATCCCCATCATCCCACTTTGGTTCTCAGAGACTCTTGTCCTCAGAACCTACAGAGTGAGAAGTGCATGCTGGGGAACGAGGCTGCCTTCCCCCAGCCCATACCCCCCAACCCAAACTGCAGAAGGCACATCACGGAGCTTCTACTACCTCTCCATACTCCCCACCACCCCACCAGGTAGCAGGGCGAAAGCCTGGGGCTGAGCCTCCTGAGGCTGAGGGCAGGAGCTGCACCTACCTCCCCTTCTGGAGCTGAAGCACTTTGTCCCTTAGGGACTCATCCAGTTGGTCAAGGTAAGGGGTGATATCGACTGGCTCCTCCACAACTGTCTCCTTGATAGGGTGGAAGCGAAACTCTCTCTTCTTTCCTGAAGGGAATGATTCAGGAGCGCGGTCATTTCCCCAGACACCAGCAGCAGGGACAGCCCCACACGCTAGGTGTGCATGTGCCCTGGATGTGGACACACCCAGCCTTAGGAGCACACAAGGGTAGGGGCCACTCCTCCTTCCCTCCCTCCTGCTTCAGGGCCAAGGGCAGGGCTCTGCGCCCTGGGGTCCCATCCAGTAACCCTGCTAACGAGACTAACTCAGGGGGCCAAGGCAACAGAGAGGCTGCTCCTGCCACCTGGTCCTCTTGGGGGTGATGCCACCCGGAGCCCCTTCTCTGCTGTGCCCACCTCTGCTGCTGAGGTCCTCCTCATCATCACTGAAGGCTGCCTCTGCGTTGTCATAGCAAGCCTCATCTTTGTCTGACATGTGGTTGTCCATCTCCACGGAAACCGGCTCCTCAAGTTTGACTTGGGAGGAAAGAGACAAGGCATTTGATGGTTTCCTGTGACCTAACATGCCTAACTTGGGGGACAGGTGGATTACAGACCCTGGAAGGACAGACATCGTGTCCTCACAACCTTCCACAACTTGCAGGGCAATTCTGCCAGGAATAAGAATGGTATAGGAAATGCCTGCTATGCTTAGCTTGCATCGACAAGTAGGTAAGACCAGGGACAGTCCCAAGTGCTCTTCACTTTATTTATTTATTTTTTTAAAGATTTTATTTATTTATTTGAGAGAGAGAATGAGATAGAGAGCATGAGAGCGGGGAGGGTCAGAGAGAGAGGCAGACTCCCTGCTGAGCAGGGAGCCCGACGTGGGACTCGATCCCGGGACTCCAGGATCATGACCTGAGCCGAAGGCAGTCGCTTAACCAACTGAGCCACCCAGGTGCCCGAGATATTCTGT